TATTTCAAGAAAAGTAGAAAAGGGTTAGGAAAATTGAGACAATGTAACATATATTATACTCACAAATTTGAGAGCCCAGGACTCAAGGCAACATCTACTGACATTGTGATCTGCCCCGTCCCTGAGCTTCAGATGATGGCAGAGGCAGGATGCTCCTCACCTGCCCATACTGTTCACAGGAATGAACTGTATCACCAAAAGAGATTTATCTGTGATTGTGTTTAAATCCAACATAAATGAACTAAGACATTCCATTCTCTAAAGTTGCCTTAAGCCAACAACATGCTGATGGAATGATAAGAGAGAAGGAATCCTAGAAATGACCTTTTTTGTACCATTCTTCTTATTCAGATGAAGAAATTGGGAGAACTTGGTCTTCTAAGACAGTTTTTACTAAGGCTACTTTCTCAGGATTGCTTAGTCTCTGGGAGCAGAATCAGATAGTCTCAAAGATCACAGTCCTCAGAGAATAATCTGGTAGCTTCTTTTTGGAATACATCTCATCAGCACCCTCTTCTGTACATATACCCTACCTCAATCCCCACATAACCCTCTTCACACCCAGGTCCTCAGAACTTCACTTGTAATGAAATGGTAATAATACATGTAGATGTTCTGAGCTCTTTTTTATATATCCATAGACATGTTAGACACATGTTTTGATACTTTGGTAGTAGCCTTCCTCATCTTAATGCATGTAAAAAAAACTTCCAACTGGAGTATGCAGCTGAATATTAAGTATGCCACTATTGTTCTTGAGAAGGTGTAAATGCTCCTATGGAGGAGTAAACTTAGTTAGGAAGTAAATTTTTCTGATTAAAGATAGTCTCCCAATAAACCATGCTGTCTGGAAGTTACCCTGCCATCCACCTGAACACCTGTGTACTTAATTATTGATTAGCCAAACATAATCACCAAAAAATGAGGGAAAAGACACTTGACTTCAGAGTCACAATGTGATAAGATGTTCACTCTGTCCTGGGATGTCTGTAGGGGCCCACATTTGGGACTCTCCCTTTCAAAATCTAGCTACTATGTCCAAGAAGTCTAAGCTCTCTGGAGAGCCTGAGAAGTATCTGGATTTGGCAGTCAAAGCTGTTAAATTTGGGTATAAAATGCCACCAGAAGGCTTAGTCCCCAGCCAATAAGTAAGGAAACGCGATCTACATGGTAAAGAAAATCCCCTCTGCTTGGTATCTACTGGGAGGTGAAGAGCTTTCTTCTGCCATGCCTTCCCACCACCATGTTTCTGACTTGCCACAGACTTAAACACTATTGATTTAGTTGACTGTGGACTGAAATTGCTGAAACTGTGATCCATAAGAAGTTTGTCCTCTTTCAAGTTGTTTGTCCCAGTCTTTTTGTCACAGAAAGAGTACAAATTTGACCAGTACACCAACAAGTAATCTAAAAGTAGTTGCGAGTCCTGAGAGTATGCCATTATTGACATTCAGCCCAAAGAGCCTTCAGACAATACCCACAAGAAAGACCCCGGGGAATTCACACTGATACCAATGGTCTATAGAATTGAAGGATAATACATCCCTGTTTTAGGGTACTATGTTGTGAAGCAATCTGTTACAGAGCGAAGGATACTGGGAATAGTAGGACATACTAAAAGTTTATTTTCTCCTCAAATTTCTACAAATCTCAGTGGCAAACAATAATCAATATCTACCAAGATCTCGAAGCTGGTCAAAGTGGAATTTATTTAAACTTTCTTTCCATCCTGCCAAAGATTGTGCCATTTCCAGTCAAGTTATTTCTTTCATTCCACTCTTAAGCGAGATACTAGGGACAAAAAATCTTGAAAGAAAAATGCAATTTAAAAATATCTGTTGAGATAGGTATTTTGACATTTGAAGGGAGGAAAAACAATTTTGGATGCTTTAAGAGCTTTTCAGTGTTGACTTTCATATTATGTCACTCTGTGCTACAGAAAATAGTCCTTATCTCCCTGTCTAGCTATTTAGAGCAATCTGCAGTAGCATCATGCACCCTTTAAGGGTCTTAATTAGAGTGGGCACTGAGTGTTTGGGGTTGCAGGTTGCTTATTGTAGTTGTGAATCAGACAGGCTATTTTTTCTTTTCCTGTCTCTCCTTTTCCATTCTCTCTCTTTTCTTCCTCCTCCTTTCTCACTTCCCTTCTCTCTTCATCCTTCATATTCTTCCTTTTCTTTTCTTCCTCTGCTCTTCATTCCCACCTTTATTCCTTTTTTAAATCAATGTTAATTCCAGGTATACCTTAGTGAGGATAGTAAAAAGAAGAAAAGAAATCTTATTTTAGGAAATTCTTAAGTGTCAAGTGTCATACTAGACAATCACACACACACACACACACACACACACACCAATAAAACAAAACAAAACAAACCACAAACACACACAGTAATTGCATTGGATGCTCAGTAGGCAAACCAAAAGGTAATGGATGTGGTGTATAGATGAGAAAACTGAAGATAAATTCAATAGTACATCTAAATTAATTGAGCAAGAACTAACTGGTAGAGCATGGATCTAAGGAATCTCTTCCTTATTTATTTACAATCCAATCATTTCCCCCTTCCCACAGTTCCTCATTCTATTCCTCCTCTCCCCACCCCCATCAGGCCTCCCCACTCCCTAAGGCCTTGATTATATTGAGGATTAGGCACACCTTCTCCCTAAGGCCAGGCCAGGCAGTCTTATGTGTCATCTCTGGTATGCTGACTGGTTGGTGGTCCAGTGTTTGGGAGCTCCCAGGGGTCTAGGTTAGTTGAGACTGCTGGTCTTCCTATGGGGTCTCCCTCATCCTCGGCTTCTTCCAGCCTTTCTTTAATTCAACTATAGGGGTCTCTGATCTCAGTCCAATGATTGAGTGTAAGTATTTGCTTCTATCTCAGTCAGCTGCTTGTTGGGCCTCTCAGAGGACAGCCATGCCAGATACCTATCTGTAAGTACACCATAGCATCAGTAATCATGCCAGGCCTTGTTGCCCTCCATGAGATGGATCCCAAGTTAGGCCACTCACTGGACCTCCTATCTCTCAGTCTATTCTCTATTTTTGTCTCTGTGGTTCTTTTAAACAGAAACAATTCTGTGTCCAAAATTTTGATGTAGGTTGGTAACCCTGCCCCTCGACTTGAGGCCCTGTCTATTACTGGAGGAGGACTCTTCGAGTTCCCTCCTCCTACTATTGGGCATTTTGACTAAGGTCACCTCACTGAGTCCTGAGAGTCTCTCACCTCTCAGATATCTGGTACTTTCTAGAGGGTCCCCCTACCTCCCGCCCCCAGAGGCTGCATATTTCCATTCATTGTTCTGGCACTCTGGGCTTCTCTCCAGATCATCCCCATACCTTATCCAGGTCCTCTTTTCTCCTTCCCTTCCCCTTTCCTACCAAGATGACACTCTCCTTCTGCCTCACATGATTATTTTTCCCCTTCTAAGTGGGATGAAAACATTCTCACTTGAGCCTTCCTTATTTTTAAACTTCCTACAGTCTGTGGATTGTATCCTAGGTATTTTGGATTTTCTACCTAATATCTATTTATCAGTAGGTACTTACCATGCATGTCCTTTTGGGTTTGAATTACCTCACTCAGGATAATATTTTCTAGTTCAATTCATTTGCTTGCAAAATTCATGAATCACATTTCCTGTATCCATTCTTTGTTTGAGGGACATCTGGATTAATCCCAGCTTCTGGCTATTACAAATAAGGCTGCTGTGAACATAGTAGATCACATGTCCTTGTGGTATGGTGAAGCATCTTTTGGGTATATGCCCAGGAATGGTATAGCTGGGTCTTCAGTTAGAACTATTTCCAATTTTCTGAGGAACCTCCAGATTAATTTTGAGAGTGGTTAGGGCAGGCTACCTTTTCATTTTTAAGAGTTTGTTATACATTATGAATATTAACCATTTTTTGTTTAGGTGTTATAATTCTTTCTATTTTATCATCAGTAGTTTTAGTATGCTTACAGTGACTTTTCTGGTACACAAAAACTTCCATTTATAAAATGTAAAATGTTTTTAATTTTTTGTTATTTCTGGATTTTCTTCTTTCTTTGAAAGCCTTCTGTAGCATATAATTATAAACAGTGTTAATTTAATGACTGTAGACATTTTAGATTTATGACTATAACCCACCTCAAAAATTTAGTCATTATATTATAAATAGATCTTTCTTTCTGGTTACTTAATTTATTAAATAAATGCCATCACTACTAATTTGAACTACAACCAAGTGCCTGCATGTGCCTGGGTATGTTGTGGTTTTTTTTAAAGATTAATTTATTTTAATTTTATGTGTATGGATATATCTCTATGTATATGCATTGTACACGCAGGAATTGTAGTAATAGATAGTTTTAAGCCTCACATAGATGCTGGGAATCAAACCCAAGTTCTCTGCAAGAACAGTAAGTGTTCTTAGTCTCTCCACGGACTGTTCTTTCTTTTAAGTTTCTCTCATCATCTCTTTATGCATCAGGGTTATATGGTGTATTTATTTCCTTTTTTATATTCTTCACACTTTTATTTTTGTTCCAAAGGGGTTTATTTTCATGGTGGATGGTAGATAGATCTGGATGTACCCCTCCCCCTCCCGAAACTCAGGGCAGACCTGAATTAAATAGGGAGGGAGAAAGGGGGAGGGTCTGGGGAAGAATGTTTAATTGGCTCCGCCCTCTGGCCTTCATTAGTATGTAAATCTCTCTAGGGCCTGAGTCCTTTAGTCACACCCTCTACCTGTGCACTTTGGGAGGGGCTGTAATGGCCTATGTGACTGAACAATGTAGGTCTATGGAGACTAGACTTCGAGTCAGGACCCTGGGTTCTGAGGACATAGCTGAACACCTGCCATTTCTCCCTTGGAGTCTTGGGGTCCATGCCCATGCCCAGCCATGAACCAAGATACCCTTACACAGTCCCACATCTCCTCCCCTTTACTTTTTTTAAAAGGGGGGGGAGTCACTGTGTCATCTGTGGTGAAAATTTTGGATGAAGAAGTCAAAAGAAAGCACTATTTAGGCCGGAGGGGTTAGCACAATTAAGTCACAGAGTAAGGGAAGTTGAGGGTGGGGGTTGGGAAGGCAAGGGATCATTGAATCAATTGAATAGAGGTGGCACAGTTTAAGGGTAATAACAGCTGACTAATCTAGATAGACATTATGTTTTCCTTACTAACATGTAACTTTAGCTATTTGATGTTGGCAAAAAAGTTCATCTATAGCTAGAGGGTCTGGATCTGTCTTCTGTAGGATTTACCATGTATCTCAGGATCTTGGCATGTGTCTCTGGAGTTTGGCATGTCTCTAGAGTTTGTCGTGTCTCTCTGGTTCTCAGTGTAGTCTCTGGAGTCTTTAGTCAGGTGGTGTGGCTGGAAGAAGGCAGCTTGGCATCCTAGGCAGGTTCTGGGAGGTGGTGTTGTCACTGCTGGACTTGTGGGAGCACCTATAGAATAATCACAACAGGGAAGCAGCACCCCAGCAGGGGGATGTCTGCAAAGGGCATGTAGTAAGCATTAGGTTACTTGGGAGCAAGCACGTCATCGTGTGCCATTGAGATCCTAGAAAAGCAAAGGTATTTGAGGAAATTCAGTCTTTGAAGGCACCTTTGAGACTGTTTTGGATGGGGTTCCATGGAGAGGTTCTTGGTGGGCGCCAGAAGGGGTTACTCTTGTATCTGGCTTTGCCCACATCCTCTACCACCTGTAGGGAACAATGTAGGCCTGTGCGTGGACATGCACAGGCATGAGTCTCTGTTGCATTTTGGGTCCATGTGTCTGCCACAACGCAGTAGGCTGGGATTGTAGTTCAGCATAGCAGGAACGCACGGGATCATGGCTGAATTTATTCCCTGCAATACCAGGCAAGTGCAGCGGGGCACTGACCGGCATTGGGAATTCTCACTTAGTCTGGTTCCTCAGGGGTGCAGAGCTCTTGGATTAGGGATACCTGGGCCAGAAGGTGGCCAGGGACCAACTCGTCTCAAGCCCTTGGGCTCTCAGACCACTGAGAGACCACAGAAGGACTGAGACTGGGAGCATGTGGGCGCGTGACCGGCCAACCCACAGCTGAGAGAACTGAGGGGGTGGAGGGAAGAAAGAGGCCCTGGCAGCACCCCGCAGGAGAGATTTGGTTACTGTACTCACTTAGCAGACTCAGCAGCCTGGCTAGCTTGCTTGAAGATGTGGGTCCCCGTGGCTGGAATGCAGAGAAGTCCTCCAGGTGAAAGATTAAGCAGCTTCAGCTATGGCAGCGGTGGTGTTGAAGGCCTTCTCCACAGCTCCCCCACAGCAGGCCTGCTTGCTTATCCATCTGGAACCACAGCTCAGCATGGAAGAAGCATGGAATCTTGGCTGAGTCAATTCAGCATAGCACCAGACAAGCATGGTGGAAAACTCAGCTGCATTCTTCTCACTCTGTACCGGGTAGATGTTGTGTGGGTCACACCCGGGCAGGGAGCAAAGCCAGTCTGGGGTTCTGTGGGGGTGGGAGCAGGGTTCTCTCCAGTGGGGAGGTAGGAATCTCTGTTTGTGGCCCCAGAAGCCTTGGGGGTGGGGGTGGGGGTGGGGCTCAGCAGAACAGAGACTGTTGGGAACACACGGAGCTGTGCTATGTGAAGCAACAGGCTCGCCAGCCCCAAGATAGGTGAGGGAGATAGAGAGAGCCTTGGCCCCCTGTCCTGTGGGATGTATTCACCTGAAGCAGACTGGGGCAACTGGTTCTTGAAGTCCATGGGTGTCTATGCCCCGCATGAGCGCCAGCTTTGGGAAAAAGCTGCGGCGGTGAAGTCCTGGAGACTTTCCACGAGGCAGGTCCCACAAACAGGACAAAGTCTCAGGTTGCAGAGGCTGAAGCCTTTGGCAACGGCAGGCCCCAATGACACGAGAAAGTCCTTGATTCCAAAGGGGTTTATTTTCATGGCAGATGGTAGATGGATCTGGATGTAACCCCTTCTTCACACTTCTACATGTATCTTTTCTATGCTTCATTTTTAAATATGCATGTACTGAAAGCTACTGAATATGCCAATAATAATAATACACACATACACAAACACAAAGAAAGAGAGAGGGAGAGAGAGAAAGAGAGAGATGGACAGAGAGAGAGAGAAAGAAAGAAAGAGAGAGAGAGAGAGAGAGAGAGAGAGAGAGAGAGATCAAATGAAATCCAATTACTATCTAACAAAATACTATGTGGGTACTTAAGTATTATTGATAGCAATTGAATTTTTTAAAAAGGAAATCAAATCAAGGAGAAACTCTCATGTGATGGTAAATACAAAAAAAAAACTTAGTTGTTTTCAGACTGGGAGTTTATAGAACTTTGTTGTTAGATACATCCTTTTACAATCATCATGATAAGCACATATTGTATTTGAAAGGAAAATTAAATATTTTCAAAACAAAATTTTAACTGATTGGACCCTCATTTTGGAAGAGCACTGAGATTGTTACTGTGTGAATAAATTTGAAAAACATTTATTTGGGCCATATGTTGTATCAAAATCCAGGCTAAATCATAGCTTTACCCAAATTATCCTTTATCCTAATGGAGTAGTCAAAGTAAATGTTTGGGTCATAGTGAACAATGAGACAAAGATTTCAATAGAGAGAAACCCAACTAGTAGGTACTTGCCCATTCCTTAGATGGAGACCCTGATGACCACAGAACTCAGTTCTCTGACACAGCTCACTCTACCAGTGAGAGCTGATCCAAGGGAAAATAAATAACACTGGGCTATAGTACTGTGAGCTGTGTGTGGCCCTACGGCTCAGTGGTGATGACTATTGGCATCCCTACAGAGCAGACTGATTTCAGGATGTTTAAGATTCCCTGGCTTATATTTTCTCCTCTTCCATAAGTAAAGCAGTTGCTTCTAAACTTGTCTGCTCATCAGAATTGTATGAGGAACATTTCTAAATGTTAAGTCTTAGCCCTTATCATGAGTACAGTGCTGCATAATTTCAGCTCTTGGAGAGAGCTTTCTAGTTTCTGCAGAGCACTTGAATGCAACACAACATCAAGAATCATGTTCATGGGCCTGTTCATCTCTCCACATTCTTAGGAAACATCTAGTAGAAAAAGTTGCAGAGCAAAGTACAACCACTAAATGAAAAACAACCCATGACAGGAAGGTTTCCAAATGACTTTCTAATGTTAATTTGTGGAGATATAGAATCCTGGGTGTTCGGCCATGCCCCCAAAACCCAGAGATCTAACATACAGCCCTTGCAAGTCACGTAAGACACGAGACTAACAGTTCTCTGCCTCAGGATTTCCCTGGCCCTGCCCTTCTCCCCCGCTTCCAATATAAGCAAACCCCTTCCAACATTTTTGGAGAAAGCATGACAGACACTTCGCCATGTCAATAAATGTCTTCAACTCTACGCGCCTCTTGGAATCCTGGACTATTGTATAAGGTCAAAACCCGTGGCGGGGTGGGAGTGGGAGGGGCTGCGCTCCGGCTCACCCCTGGCCACCTGAGCCCCAGGACCAACCCCTCTGCCACCCGTGACCTGTGTCCCCGCCTGCTCCTCCTCCGGGCGCAAGCAGTGCCCAACACCTGGCACCCACGCGGACCACCGACACCCACAGCCAGTCATGAACGAGTCACTTCCAATGGGACACATCTAGACTCTTGTTTTCCCAGCACACGCCACAGCTGTGTACACTCTCTCGCTTCTATTAGAGGCCAAATGGGTGCACTGGCTGTCCAAGACACAGCCACCCGCCCCCATAACCTGCCCTGCTGCGCACTCAACTCCCCGAGACGTCTGAGGCCCAGAGCAGACCCAAGAGTCTCACGCCCACGCCAGCTCAGATCTGACTAATTCATTCCTGCCCAAACACCAAGCTTTCTGCGCCCGCTTCTCCACTACGGCGATCTCTGCCTCCCTGAGACATCTGCTCCAGACAAGAGACATAGACAACTCCATGCCTGCGCACTCCCAAGGCACATGGGCCACCATCTCCCACTGGTTAGTGGTGGACAATATACACAAAGCCAGCTCAGAAGCTCTCCCCACTGGCACCTGCGAAAATCATGAGTTACATCTCGGTCCACCCACCCTCCACCTCTTCTCTCCTTCTCGTGTTCCCTGCTAACATCTTTCCTTTAATTGTTAACTACAATCTAACTTCCGCCTAATTCAAAAAACTAAGTTTCTCTCTCCACGTGTTCCCTATAAGATGGCGGATCTCCATTCTTTACCCCTTCTCCCAAAAATCTCTCACAGTCTGCCTGCCAAAAGGTTTACCCCTCCCCCAGAGGTCAGCCTTTCTCTCTCTGCCTGCTGGCTTCTCAAGAACAATGAAACATCTTCCCTGAGAGCTGCTGCACACTGCCTGCAGACAGAAGATTTTCCCTCCCCCTCTGACTGAGAACTGCTGACCACCTTCTCCCAAGAGCTGCTGACTCTAGATGCTAGCCTCTAGGTGTCTTCCCCGCCATGGCTCAGCTTTACACAGCCTTTTGCTCCTTCTGACTCTGTTATCAAACTTCTACGTTTCTCGCTTTGAACTTTTCTTCAAAGTTAGCCTTTCTTTTCTCTAAGAAAAACAAAGGGAGGAATTCCCTGGCTTCTAACAGGCTCCCTCCCCCACTGATTTTAAACCCTTCACTAATAATTTTTTTCCCAAACAGAGATACCTACAGCAACGTTTGTGCTTTTCAACCAAAAATTTTTTGCTTCTTGTTTAAATGTCTCCTTTTCTCTCTAACACTCATGATATATTCCCAACATCTTTTTTCAACTTTTAAAATTTTTTCAAGGTTTGAAAGTCATCTAAATCTACTTCCACAGGTTAAATCAACATGCTGACCACCACCTTTCAGCTCTTAATTAACAACTAATTTTCCTTCACAGACAAACTGTGGATGATTACCCCAGATATTATTAACACAATGTTTTCTCCTTCAGCCATCTAATTTCCTCAAACACCTTTTGGCTTTCCAGGGGTGATTTCATGCTTAATATCCAGGCTTTCCAGATACATCCCCACCAGAGGTGCTGCTTCACTATGATTATATCCACAGATCCAACAGAGGCAAACTGATGCTGAGACAACGCCACCTCCTGGAACCTGCCAAGCTGCCTTCTCCCAGTCATCTCGTCTGACTGAAGACCCAGAGATACTCGACACCAGCTACAGATGAACTCTTGCCAAAGTCACATAGCTGAAGTGACATGTTAGTGAGGAAATCATAATGTATATTTAGATTAATCAGATGTCATTACTCTCAAATTGTATAATATGTATTTAATTGATTCAATGACTCCTTGCTTTCCCAATCCCAGCGCTCAATTCCTATTACTCTTGGCTTGATTGTGCTACACCCCCCGGCCTGTGAGGTGTTTTCTTTTATTTTCACTACAGATGACACCTCTCCTGAGAGGGAATTGTGGGTGGGAGGCTGTGAAGGCCAGAAAGCCTGGTAGCAGAGCCCTAGAAGCCCTGCACCCTAGTCTCTGAGGCTAGCCTCTGACACGGAAGGTGCTTCAGGCCTCCCAGGCCTTCTAACTCTCTCAGTTTCAGCTTCCACAGTCCCTCCCACAGAGAGACTCTTGGTCATTTTGTCACATGAGAATAACATCCCCACATGTGACCTACATTATATCTTCACCTTCAGAGTTTTCCCCTCCTTTTTCTGAAAGAAAAAGGGTGGATTGTGGGGATGTAGAATCCTGGGTGTTCAGCCATACCCCCAAAACCCAGAGATCTAACATACAGCCCTTGCAAGTCACGTAAGACATGAGACTAACAGGTCTCTGCCTCAAGATTTCCCTGGCCCCGCACTTCTCCCCCGCTTCCAATATAAGCAAACCCCTTCCAACATTTTTGGGGAAAGCACACCAGACACTTAGCCATGTCAATAAATGTCTTCAACTCTACGCGCCTCTTGGAATCCTGGACTCATCGTATAAGGTCAAAACCCGCGTGGCGGGGCGGGTGTGGGAGAGGCTGCGCTCCGGCTCTCACCCGGCTGCCCATGCCCTGGGACTGCCGCTCTGCCACCCACAACCTGCATCCCTGCCCACTCCTGCTCGCGCCCGCACGGCTGCCCGCAACTTCTGGGCGCGAGCAGTGCCCGACATTAATTGTCATTCAAACATATAGACAGATGCTGCCTTCTTGACCCCTGAATGATTTACCAAAACACCTGAGGGGCAATTGGCCAATGAAATATGTATCTTTTGAGTCTACATGTTTTGAGACCAATCTTTCCCTAGATTTATGGAAGAGCTGGAAAGTTCTGTTAATGTGTTACAAAGAATAAATGCTATATGTTTTTAAAAGGAAAAAAAAAAGATGGAGCTGGTTAATTGAGAAGGTTTAATTATTATAATAACAACAGCCATTTACTGGTCATTTGTCTTAAGCTAAGAACAGTATTAAAATCCTTACCTGCTTTTAATCTCTTAGATGTTCACAATAGCAGTGTATGTACCTGTGTCTGTCTGTCTACCTGTGTGTGTGTGTGCGTGTGCGTGTGCGTGTGCGTGTGTGTGTGTGTGTGTGTGTGTATCTTTTTTATGTATGTTTCCTTAGGCAGAGTCTCTGTGTCCTATACTGAATTCAAACTCATTTTGTCACTGAGGATGTCCTTGAACTCCTGATCCTCCAGTGTCTGCCTCATGAGGGCTGAAATTGCAGATGTGCTACCATGTTCATTATGTGTTGAGCTTGGGGTCAAGCCAGATTTTTACATGTTAGGCAGTTGTTCTACCAACTGACCTATATCCTAACCCCCTAGCCCCATGTGTGTTTTATCTTAATGCACTGCTTCCCAACTGAAATTGGTTTTGACCC